TCACGTTTTTTCTATGCCAAGTCAGCTTTACTACACTCAAGATCGCAAACAGAATGGTAGAAAGAGCACAAGAGAGTTGTTAAGGGAAGCTTTATATTAGAGAAAACTTGGATTGTTTGCTTGGTGAATTACAAATTAATGTCCCCTTTATATACTAGTCTCCTAGGGGCCAGTGTGTAAATATTAATTGTTACACAAGTCCTTAATATTTACAAGATAAAGGTTTTCTCTAGAATTCTCTACAAGCCTAGAAGATTCCAAGGACTTTCCTAGCAAATCTATAAGGATCTAGGGTCTTCCTAAGGAAATGTCCATACTTCTCTAGAATCTTCTCACAAATGCTAGTCTTCCTCTTATGTAAGCTTTCACATGATATTAATATATGCCAAATGGCTCCTATGTGGCGTGATGATGTGGCGGGTCATCACACTAGTATATATAAAAGAAGGAAGCCACTAAGGAATACATACCAGTAATTCCATATAGTCCTTAAGTACTGGAATTGCTTTGCAAATGTCAAGAATTTTGCTATTGTTTGTTAAAAGTAGGTAACTATCTCTTGTAAAAATCTATTATCATTTCATCTAAAAGTTTAATTTATATAGCATGATTTTTTTCATGGGTGATGGTGACTTAAATTTAGAATATATATTTGCTCTGATACCATATTCAGAAAAAATAAATTATTATGCCAAGTTCAACTCAAAAACTAGCTCATGTAGTGAAGATTGTTAGAATAGTTTTTACATGTGGGAGTCCCACATCGATGTCCACAAGCCACTTTGTTGACTTTATAAAGCTAAGCTTATTAAGTACAATAAAATGAATAATTGACATATTTAGAAGGATATGTGTATATATATATAATACCCTATATTTTTTTTATATAAGGGTGTATTATTTATTAGTAAAATAATAATAAGAAACTAACCAATAAAACAAAATAAAAGGATAAGGATTGAATAAAAAGGGTTGATCCCCATTCTGTGGCAAAATCACAAAATAAAAGACAAAAAGGAAAAGGGGAAAAGGGAAAAAGAGAAAAAAATGGTTGCTGCTTTAAAACCACAACATAAGCTTCAGAAACGGCAAATTACAAACCAGCAGAGAAAAAAAAAAGAAAAAGAGAAGAAGAAGAAAGCTTGGGGCAAAGGCCTTAAGAAAAACTAGGAGTTAAAATTGAAAGTATTAAAGCTCTCATTCGACTTAAGAGGTTAACCTTTTTCTCCTCATCTGTTGAATTATTTCACTGCATCTATGTAATTTCATGTAGTACAAAAGAATTCAATATCAACTTTCTCTTATATAAAAAGAAATATACAATTACTATGGAGATAACAAGGCTGTAAAGGTTTGGTTTAAGCACAGATAGGTCCAATTTTAGAGGAATAAATTATACTAAATAGTTTGAAATTGATAGAATTATGGACTAGTTTTATGATTAAATATAAATCCACAAACTAAGACTCAAACATGAACCCCGATGATTGGGTATTCTAAATTGGTGATGGATTTAGCCTAAATGAAGCAATTAACATGAGATCGATATTATGTAATTATAGATTGACCGGAGGAATTTGTACGAATTGCTCGAGGTGAAGCATTTGGTATTTCGGCACGAGTACTATGAGTAGTAATCTTACCGCAATTTGTGTTTTTATAACTTGCATGATTTACATATGGATTTTAATATGAATATGTTACCGATTATTTTGAGTTCCATGTGAGACAAGTCTTTTATTCAATATGATATCGAAATAGTTATTTGAGAAGATTACCGTTGTTTTAAATATTTTTGTTGTCATTAGATCTGTTTTACCGTTACTTGAATTTACTGTTATCGAAATGAAATTATATGATTTGATAAGAACCGAAATGACCTATATTGATTTAAAATATTTTCTACGAATATATACAGATTACAGAGACAAGTATAAATGGGAGTAGACATTGAAGGATTCCGTAGCTAACGGTGGGTTCGTTAGACCTGGTGCACCTTGTAATTACAGATTACCGTTATAGCCCTCGCTAGTGGGAATGTAGAACTAGCATACTGTTACCGATTTTCCTCGAGTAGGGACTACCGTTATATTTGACTTCTTGCGAAGAAGTCCACAGTTATACCGATTACATGATCCGTTTATTGAAACCTCCCAAATGTGAATATTGATATTATACAATAGTTACCGAGCTTATTACTGAACTGTTAATTGTATTATACTACAAAAAAAACATGATGAGACTGAAAATTATTTATTGTTTCTGAAAGGGCATTTTGATGTTATTTTCTATTTGATTTACTAGCATGTTTTCTGACTTGTCCCCAATAAAAATGGTTATGGTTAAGTGTTATTACTCACTGAGCTAGCGACTCATTCCCCGCTAATTTTTTTTTACAGAGACAACAATTGACGCGGGCGAGGATTTCGTTAATTAGAGCGCAAAGGTTGATAGTTCTTGGTGAGCCTCGCACTTGTTCGCGTGGACGGAGATTTTTATCAATTGTTATGTTCTTTTCTTTGAATTCTTAGAGTCTCTCCATGGTCATTCTTTTAATGTCTTGAGTATTCTTCGTTATTATAGACTTATGTTGAGTATCACTCATTCTTATCAAATTTGGAGATAAAGTAGTATTTCTAGTTGTTAGTGGATGAACTATTAAAGGTAGATATTTATTTTGGTTAATTGATAGAGTCATTGTCATTTGAATTGTTATTAGGATGTTTGGTTGCTGATTTGAGACATGAAATTTTTTGGGATAGTCCAAAAATAGGGAAAACTCTGTCCGAGTTTTTGTAAAATACCGATGAGGCTTACTTGGGGGCACTTGCTCCTAAGTGCCGGTCATGATCCTAAATTGGGTCGTGATAATATATTTAATAATAACAATTAATCATATATCTAAATAAAAATCTTATTTTGTATTTTAAATTTTGAACATCGTTTTGCTTATTTAAAATTTGAATTTAATATTTAAATTTTGAATTAAAAAAAAAAGTTGTGACAATTCGTAAACGGGACAACTTTTCAAGAAAAATTTCCTTTTCTTCTCTAGAAATATAAAGACATCCTAAAAGTAGCGTATTCAATTTGCACGTATATTTTCAGACATTGCTGTATCATGATAGAGAATTGCTTGTAATTTCTAAAGAATATACATGCAATAACTCTTGAAAGATAGTGATCTCTCACGTCTCAAAACTTTAATTTCTTTATTATTTATCTTCTATTTTCTAACAGAGATTGTCAAGACTATATATATAAAGAAATAACAACTCACTCCCTCAGGCCTCAACCAATACAAGAAATCAGAAATTCTCGCCGCTCTAGAACTGAAATTATAAGTGACCAATATTCGGAACCAAAAATATGAAGGATTCTAATTATACCATTCAATTTTACCCCTATTTTCAGACGTTTTGCCTCCAGATATGCGGTCAAGTAGCCCATCAGATAACTTTACAAGCATTTGTTTTCAAGAGCTAACTTCGAGTTAAAAAGGGGGAGAATTGCGAAATCAATGAGTAATTAATAAATTAAAAGGGTAAAATATGGAGAAATTATTGCGCAAGAATAATTCCGACCAAGTTTACCCTTTAATCGAAACCAAAAGAACAACCAAAAGAACTATGCAAAGATCCTTAACGCATGTTCAACGCTGGATTCCCAACTTAAAAAGTCCTAATGCAACCACGTCTAACTCTCATTCTTAATTTTCTTGTTCCAAATTTGATTAACATATTTGATAATTCAAAGATTTTTCTTAATTTTCAACATAATTTAATTATGAAGTAAGTTATGGCTTCTTTTGTTTATCTTAAATCTAAAAACCAGAAAAGCATTTGTCTTTAAAATTAATGTTAAGCAATATATTAATACACCTACACTTTCGAAGTATTAAAAACTAGAGAAATATATGTTGTCGCTGGTAGAAGGCTTGAGTTAGTGCTTTTGACCCGAACATAGATTACAAGGAAAACTAGATTTTGAACCCAAAATTTCAAATGTACAATGATTTTAATACTAAAACTTTAAAGATTAATACCAATAAATTAAAATTCCAGGTTTGCCTCCGCATATATGTTAGCCATAGATTCATGTTTTGATAAAACAAAATATGAGTCTCAAGCCAAATTCTAACAACCGAGACATTATAATTCAAATCATAATATCACAAGCAAATCAAAGTGATATCTCCGATCTACTCTCGTGTTACTTATTTTGAAAATAACTTAGAATTCGAAACCTTTTAGAGCTCGTTTGGACGTAAGAAATTTTTTCTTTTTTTCTTTTTTTTTTTACTTTTTTTCGAAGTTAGCGTTTGTTCATAAAATTTTCAATTTTCATTTGAAGATGCATGTTGGAAATTTTCGAAAATTTTAAAAACTCCAAAAAATTACTTTTCAAAATTTTCATTCAAATCACTCACAAAACTTCAAAAACAAATACCATTTTCACTTGAATTTTTTTTTTTACCCTATTTTGAAATTTTACAATTCTTATGTCCAAACGCCCACTTTATCTACTCTCTCAACCTCAGTTTCACCGGGGTGCCATTTTTCTGTTCAATCTAAGATATTATTTTAATTTCTTAAATATCATGAATAGAATTGATATTATCCTTAAAGTAGTGGTGACTCCATAGCCAGTCAGCAATTCGGTTGGACTGTTTAAGGAAGCAGATATATTAATATGGAAGAAATTATATTGGAAGGAAGACCAAAGGTTGTGGACATTTTTATCTTCTGCCCACGCAGAAAAACGGAACGCGTGTGTTACGTTATTAGGATAATATTGATACGTGGCACAAGAAGATAGGAAGGAATCAAGGACAAGACGGTCATTTCACGAAATATCATCTCCTTTATGTGACAGATGATAAAATAACGTCAAAACGGGAGAAACGGTGTCCTTGTCGTACATCTAGATCACGAGCGACTTTCCCCTAACAAAACCTGATTATTTATAATAAATGATATCTGGAATCGCTGTTTTAGATCCATAATCCCATTAGGCTACAGAAATAAAAAAGGATTAAGAAATGGATATTCTGTTAACGTAACGGTTGCCGTTAAGTGACGGTCCAACATTTGACGGAAGTGGTGGTCCGTTTTACTGGGTAGGTGCGAACTGAGAATACAGAGAGAAACTAAGCTCATTTTTTCACTATAAAAAGGGGAAATAGGCAAAGGGTGTGATCATCAAACATAGGGGCTTTGCTCTTTATCTTTGTGATTCAGATTACTGAGTGAAATCAGAGAAACTATTTACGAAACTCCATTTCTTCTTCTTCTTTAGTGTGTATTGTATGGCCGCCAATTTGCAGAGCCGTGGACTCGTGAGCTTAGGGAAACGAGTTGTGAACCAGATCAGCTACGCTAGTGGTCGAACTTCTGCTAACTCACCTTCACTCTCTGGCAGGTATTACTTCTAAATTTCTATCTGTATGTTGTTTTGTCCTTTTACGGCTGCTTATTTACCTATTGATCAGTGTTTGCTTTCTAGAGCATGTTTGTTGTTGGTTTAGACGAAAATTTATAGTTTAATTTCTGTGAAAATCATGCTAGCTATCTGCTAAGTTCTGAAGGATATCAGGTTAATGGTTTAATTTCCAGAATACGAGATCAGTTCAATTAGATTTACAACTTGTGGGAGATAAATTTGCGTTTACCAGTTTTAGTTTGTTTATTAGATCTAGCAACCAATAAACCATGGATTCTGGTAGCGCATTATGTCGTCTTCTAGCTAGCTGATATTTTTTTGTCCGATTTTTCATGGGATATATTTTCTCGGAAATTCACTAATCTATCTTGCCATTTTCTATTCATTTCTTTCCTCTTTGATACGACAACAACGGTAAAAACTTACCTACCCCGGGTCTTTACCCTAAACCAATAGATACATGACATGTATCTTCAATCATTTAGCCATGATAAATTATATGAATTCTTAATTAATTAAATTAATTAATCATAGTGAGTTAATATAGTTTAGTATAAACACCTGACGTGATAAACATTTACCCAACAACATACCCAATAAAATCTTATTCTTTGATAACTCACGTTTTCCTTTCCTTGTTGCTTAATAGTACAAATAATAACTCTTAAAATGCTGCGTGCTGAAGTGGAAGGCTTATCGGATAAGGACGTCTCACCCACTAATATCCCTAATTGTCTCTTAACGGTGCATCATAGGAATTTCCGCTCACAAAATATATTAAATATTATTCCCTGAGCCTTGCACACATATGTAACAATATCTGAACCATTGAACTTTCCCAATGTAATTGACGGTAAGATGACGATCTATATTTATACTCCCTCGTCCCATGTGAAATGTTCGAGAATTAAATGAATTTTTTTTATCGTGATTTTTTAAAATATATCTTTTAAATATTAATTATTGTGACTTATAATATTTTTTATATAATTTCTAAGTATGTAAATTTTATTTTTAAAAATTTAAAATTATGTTCAAATTTACAGTCAAATAAAAAATTTGAATCTTAATAGGCAAATAGTATCACATAAATTAAGATAGTGCTATTATTTTTTACTACAACAAATAGAGAGAGTTAGATGTAAGATGTAACCGTCTAACCGGAACCTTACCGAAACTTGGAAGGAAAAAGAAGAAAGTTAGGAAAGGAGTAGGTGAGTAGGTCTGTAGGTGAAACTATAGGGGCCCGCATCAAAATAAAGGCTTGAGATAAAAAAGATGAGATAGAAGAACTTGACACGACATGTGGGGTTGATGTTATTTTACCTTTTTGAAGCAGCAATGTTGCTGATGATTGGGTTGAACTATTTGTTCTTGGTAGGTATTAGGAAATGGGACCTGGATCACGTGATATGTCAACGTTATAACAATTTTACTGTGGCCCAGAAACAGGAGTTAGTGATACGGTTTAACTCCAGTCTAGTGAAATTTTCAATCATTTTTCTTGTTTGCTGTTTTAAAAAATTTAAGGACCAACAATCCAAATGTATGCTTGATTAAAGTTAATGATGATATATACCTGTTTTATGGATTTTATGGTATTGTATATTATTTTATTATGAGTCTATTGATAGTACTAATATAGTGTCTTTTGTTGCCTTCTTGAGCCGAGGGTCTCCTGGAAACAGCCTCTCTGCCCCTCGGGGTAGAGGTAAGGTCTGCGTACATATTACCCTTCCCAGACCCCACTTGTGGGATTACACTGGGTTGTTGTTGTTGTTGATGATGATATATACCTGTTGTTGCGGTTACTTCCAACACACAGCATTGTGACAAGAGGGGTTGGTCAGCACCTCACCTACAATAGGGGCGGCAAACGGGCGGGTCGGGATATGAGACGGGATGACTGGCAGACAATATATAACCATATTATCCATATCACTTTTGGGAGAATTCCTAGTCTTTCAAACTCGAAGAACCTCCAATTTGAGGCTTTACAAATGTAAAAGTTAAACCTATTAGTTATCTATTTTTTAAGTGGATAATATGATTCTTATCCATATTTGACCTGTTTTTAAATAGTTCATTATCCAACCCATATTTTAGATGGATTATATGGGTGGATAATTATTTTCTTTTATTCATTTTGCCACCAATACCTACAACGTCACGGTCGTGAGTTCTAAGTCCCAAAGGAGTAATAACTCTAATAAAGGGGATCAAAAGGGAAGAGAAAAAAAAATAAAGAAAAAGACACAGCATTTGTGTACAAATTCTTTAGGGCATCCTTTAGCTTCTTGTAACTACACTAGCGCTTTTGCCAACAGTGTAGTCTACATTAGTTTTTTACTTCTTTGTTAGGTTAACCCTGATTTTTTCACTTCCCTATATTTGCAAATCAAGTTGGATTAGTTATTATTAGATGCCTATATTTGATGTTAACTTTGCCGTTTAATTAAAGTTTGGTCGGTTTGGAAGGTGTCATAATCACGCGAGTATCCCGATATTTGGGCACGAAATATGTTGGGCATGTGTGGCAACAGTTACTGCATGTACCTATACTCACTCGAGTCACTGTAGATGTAAATCTCAAGGAGTTATATATGTGGATATAATGACAAGGGGTAACATATTTGTACTCTTCGTTCATGGATTAAGTGGATTAATTAAGTAGTTAATTGTATTATTGTGCAGGAGGGGAGTGCAGACATCGGTTTACGACAAGAACCCGGAGGATCATGTGCGGGATTCAGTGGTGCCGGATGAAGTGATAGAGCCACAATCAGAAAAATACTGGGGTCCTCACCCACAAACTGGGGTGTTTGGGCCTGCAGCCACTGATAGTGCTGGTGGGGAACGTGGTTTCCACTCCTCACCTGCCACTGCTGCTGCTGCTGAATCCATTTTGGAGCAGAAGGCCTTCTTCCGCCCTCTAGAGGACTTGGACAAACCCCAGCACGCCTAAGTTTCACATTCCCTTAATAGCTCCAGTGCGTCTATCCTCACTGGCAAACTTAAGTCTATATATAGTGTGTAGTGGTGGCTTTTAATAAGTTTCTGTTTTGCTTGTGTTTATGCGAGTCTGTATTATATCAAGTTTAAAGTGCAGTATAGACTATTAGGGTAAAGCTGCACCGCTTTTGAAGGTTCCGTTCATATGGTACTGCAATATGGGTGTCTTTTGTTACAGTTACGTAACTGCTGAACTATGCTATAATATCCTTATGAACTTTTGCTTTCATATTATTGCGTGCGTCACTTTCAAAATCTTATCTTTAGTTGTTGTCGAAAGTAAGAACTGGGGATGAGATTGGTAGCTGTGGGCAACGAACAGAAGGTGATGGGTGCGCATTATGCAATCATAAAGATGCAGGCGAAGTTAGGAAAAAGAGATAAGATAGCGAGAGAGACGATAACTCCAAAGAATGTGGACACGAAAGTAGTAATAGGACAAGAAGATTGCCCATATTGAGCCTCAAAAATATCTAACTCATCCTATCACAATTTCTCCAATAGTAAATAAACAAAATATATAACTATGTCCATATCATGGCCTATCCTCTACAATACCGTACCGCCTATTACCTGTTTAGGGATGGAGAGTTACTCCAACGTAACCCCACCTGTCCCTCAAATTCCTTGGCCTTATTCAGCTTTTTATCTAGGGAAATTTATGCGATATACCTATGAGAATCAAACTAATTACCCGTACTGTACCCATTTGAAAATTATTTCAATTTCTACCCATTTTGTTCAAAATAATTATCCGGCCTACACTCGCTAAGTCGCTATAAACGATAGCTATAGACATTTTTTCATCAATTCGAATGACTTTTCCATCCTGATTTTTAATTTTAAACACCCCAAACCTAATGTGCTGCTTTTTGGACTCCCACCTAGTAATCAGATGCACACATTTTTCGACATCCATACTTATATGTAGGGGTGTACATTGACCGAGTTGGTTCGATTTTTATCAAAACTAAACCAAATCAACTATATCGGATTGGATTGGTTTGGTTTTGTCGGATTTTTCGGGTTTCAGGTTTTTTATTACTTAAATATTATTTCAATCTTACTTTGTTAAATTTTTTTAAGTAAATATATGTCTAGTAAAAATATAAAAAATTGACAAACAAATTATCTATTAAAATATTCTTACGAGAGAATTCTCTTAGTAACACATACTGTAATAGTTATTTTTTTAATCGTTTGACAATAATGTTTCGTTGATGTACACTTTCAAGGTTAACCGAATTTAGTAATTAAATATAAAAATCAATATATCTAAATAATAATAACCACTTCACATTTGAAAAAGATATAACAGTTTAGTGGATATTAACATATGATATGAATATGGAAGATCAAAGAGATTGACTCATTTCAGTAACACTTGATGAGAAAGTGATCATACAACCCATTATTTAAGGTTAATAAATATGGAGCACTTCATATAATATTAAATATTATATCCCGCAAGATAATCCCAAATATTTCTAGATATATTTTTAAAGAAAATTCTATATAAAATCTTAAAAGTATATATAAAAATTATATATTTATATGTCGGTTTGGTTCAGATTTTTTTACTCAATACCAAACCAAATCAAACCAAACCTAGTCGAGTTTTTTAATCGATTTGGTTTGACTTTTCGGTTTGGTGCGGTTTTTCAGTTCGGTTTGTACAACCCTACTTATATGAATTCTTTCTTTGGAGGTCCTTGATGTCACTAGCCTTGCTCTTTTCACGTTTGATATACCAAAGACTAATTGTTATATCGGTGATAAATGATGAAAAGGTATATTTTTGAGTATGTTTGCATATTATTTTTTATGTGAATTGCGGAAAGTTACATAGTTTTTGAAGTAAAATATGCTCATTACAACAATATCTTGAAATACTTTCTTATATTAATATGTGGTACACTATTTTTTGATTTTTCTCTTTATGCATGTGTATTATGTAATAGTAGTATAGTCATATATAGTTGCCTGGAATTATTTAGTAGAACTCTATACCTTATTGGTATAATTATATGTCATATTGGTATCATATGGTAGATAAAATATTTTTTTTTTGGTTATTTTAGCTGCATTTTTAAGTGAATTCTATTATAAAATGAGTTATATTATTATGTTTTGTTGTGTTGGTTTTTTTTGTACCTATGTATATAGATTTTGTATATTATGTAATAGTTTTTATAGTTATATGCAGTTGTTAGAACGAACCTGTATAACTATATACTCAATTAGTATAGTTATATACTATATTAGTATCATATGCTAGTTGAATCATTTTTTGGTTATATTAGTTGCATTTAATTGGTACACTATTTGATTTTCTTTTAATAATAGTAATATAATACAATATCTTGAAACCTTTATTATATTAATATGTGCTACACTTTTTTTTCTCTTTATGCATGTGTGTTATGTAATAGTAGTATAGTCATATAGTTGCCGAAAATTAACCAGTAAAGCTGTATACCATGTTGGTATAGTTATATGCCATATTGGTATCACATGGTAGTTTGAACATTTTTTTGGTTGCTTTAGCTACATTTTTAAGTGATTACTATTCTGAAATTATTTATATGAACATGATTTGTAGTGCTGGAATTTTTTGTGCCGATGGATATAGATTACGTGTATTATGTAATAGTTTTTATAATTATAGGCAATTGTTGGAACGACCCCATACAACTATATACCCTGTTAGTATACAAAATGAGCAAGTTGCTTTGTGAATATTTAGGTTGCAATGCCATCATGTAATTTCTCATACTTTTATTGCATCCTTTAATGTTTTGGTACAGTAGTATAGTCGCAGATAGTTGTAACAATATTCTAGAGCAATCATATACTCTGTTGGTATATATGTATACCAATTGGTATCATATGATACTAAAAGTCTTTTTTGCTACTTATACTTTTATTGCATTTTTTAATATTTTATTATCATTTCTACTAATATTCAGTGAATTAGATCAAGTGACAACTCATATTATTTCAGTTTAATAATTGAATATTTAAAAAAGAAAAAAAAGACAAAAGGTATATTATACTAGTTATATTTTAAAAAAAAGTGAACAAATATTTACTATATTAGTTATTTTTTCTTATTTTACAAAAAGAATAATAAAAAATAGTGAAAACATTAAATGAAATTAGATTATGAAGAGAAAAAGAATATAAAAAAAGAAGTTAAATGAAATTAGAGAAGGAAAAAAGAAAAAAATAAGAAGAAAACGAGAAAAAAGAAAAGGAGAAAAGAAAGAAAAAAGGAAAAAAAGAAAAGAAGCATAGACATAAAAAAAATTGGAGAAAAAAGAGAAAATTCCCCACAAAAACTATTATGGGTAGAAAATGTAATTAGTTTGATGAATAAAAAAATAAATAAGTAAATAAGACTAAATAAGTAAATAAAACTAAGATAATGGAGTCTTCCACACAAAAAGAAGACAATGAATCTGGGATCGGAAACGCAAATGAACGCTCAAGAGTTGACTTGGTATAGAATTTAAAATATTGCAATGACTCGTCAATAGTCGTCATTGATTAATAACAAATAATTACTCTTCCATTCCACTTTATTTGGCACAATTCTGACTAGGCACAAGTTTAAAAAGAAAAAAAGGAAAAAGAAAACATTAAAATCTGCGGCCTCAAGCATCTCAGAACAATTTGTGTTGAAGTTCTTCAATAAAAAAAAGTGTCATTCGTTTTCTTAGCGGAGTTATACAGAAATAGTGCCAAATAAAATTGGACGGAGAGAACTTAAAATTTTATTTTATTTCTTAATCCATGAAAGCTCTTTTATAAAGTAAATTTATTATTGAGATATGGTGTCAAATCTTTTTAAGATAATCCCAAAAAAGGATGTCATATGGGCACAGGGATATTAAATTGAAAAAAGAAAATCATATGGCATCTGATAACGGTTATTACTAGCTAGGCTTTTTAATCTTCAAATAACAAAAAGTATGTATACTAAGATAGTACTTGTCAGATACTCGTATAAGATAAGTCGCATACACAATAAAGAGAGATGTTACATTGATCTAATTGTCACGTTAAATGGTCCTTCCGGCCGATTTTACATTTTGGACGCAAGAAACGTGTCTAAAGCGCAACCATATAACTAAACAAAATTAGTACTAGTAGTATTAAATATCTTTTTGACAAAGGCAAGCTTTGAGCCGTCCAAGTAGAATAGCAGCCCCCGCCTGGGCAGGGGCCTGTCATAGACCATGTAGCTAAGCCATTGGCATTATTATCTCAACAGATCGAATTTTCAAAATGCTAATAATATCTAAGATTTTTTAGATACACATTCAAGGTTTGATATTCGCTTTTGGAGTCCCGATTATTCTGAATTCACGCCACGTAAGACCTACTAAACGAGGAAACGCTCCTTATTAGGATCTTTTTCATTTCCAAAACTTGAATCTAAGACTTCTTATTAAGGTAGATAGATATTATTTATCTCATCACAACCCTTTCTGGCGTAATATCAAGCACTTCACGTACACAGGGGTCCATTATATTTTTCAAATGTTTCATCTGATGTGAAATGTGCCGCACAAACGCCACGCCTTTTCTTTTCTCTTTAAAAGCAATTTAGATCTTTCAATTCAAAAGGATCCGTCAGATTTTCTTTTTATTTGCTAACTTTAAAGTTTGAACGACTAGAAGTTAGCAACACATGCTCGAGAAGTATTGCTCAATTGAATTACATTATTTGCACATTCATGAGTATCAAGCAAGAGCACAAATGCGCAATATAGCACCTCGAAAATAGAAACAACATGTGCAATCGAGGCAGATCCAAGATTTAAACTTTATGGATTCCACTTTTAAGATTTTACCATTAAACCCATTATATTTTTAAAATTATGAATTGATATCTACTATTTTTGCAATTTTAACAAAATTTTATATATAAATTTTACTCCGCCTCGAAAGTTATGAGTTCGATCGAACCCATCATTACCATACTACATCCGCCCGTGTGTGCAATACTTCCATAGCATCTCTCCATAGCACCCTCTACTAGAAAAGCAAGTTGCTGTTTTGATCGGGATTCGGGCATAATGGCCCTCCTTCGTCAAAAGGTGTGCTTTTCATCGGCTAATGATGATCAAATCACGATCATAGATTATACGGTTGTAATTCCATATGCAGAAATAATATGGAAATCAAGACTCCAAATCTTTTTTAGTTCCAGTTGATGTGAATTC